CACAGTTTACATCTGACTGGGAACGTGTTTAGAGGGATGGAGCTCCAGGTGCTTAAAGAAGCCATCAGCGCTCCAATTATTGATCCCTTCAGAGCTGAAAGCCTCCTGATTAGGCGTTTTTAGAGAGAAACAGGAAGGCTGGTTTCCTCTGATTTAGGCTTGTGTTTAGATTTTTCATCATGTCAAGAAAAGAAAAGCTATCTGGAAATATGAATCACATTTCCAGAATCTTGATTTTTCTACAAATGTAAAACAAAAAGTAGAAAATAAGGGTTAGGGTTAAACTTTATAAAAACTCAATCTTTTGTGTCTGTGTCCTGTTCAGCTCACCCAGATCTCATCTGGTGCATCACTGACCTCCAGTCGTTGTAGCAAAGAACATTAACCATTTTTAAGCTGGTGCTGCTCCATCAGCAGCATTGATCACAGCCTTTATAGGACAGTTTTAGGCTGAATCCCAAACCGGCTTGTTTACGACAGAGGGTCCGCCACATTAAGGATCGTCCCAAACCACATAGTGTGTAGGGCGAGTGGACCCTTCAGCCCTTAAATGGAGAGTCTGCATCAGCGCAGGCGCGCTGAAATTTGGCGAACCAGCGGCAGAGGAAACACGCGTGTTCAAATGTACGTTTCGCTGGTTTGCTGCATCTTTGTCACACTGACAGGAAATCACAAGTTAGGAAAAGGGGAAAAAAAGTGTAATCGATCCCTAAATGGAAGATCCTCTCTGAAATATTTTTGACTGGATAGATTTCATTTTAAAAAAATGTTTGACGGTATGATAACCATAGCGTTGCCATAGGAACAAACCCTTCCCTTTCCATTGGAGGAAGAGGCCGTCCCATTCCTTACAGCCTTCTAAAGCTTTAAGCATGGCTTTAATGCGAGTGACACTTGATAGACTTGATTTATACTCAGAAACCAGGTCATCTGTGTGTGTGTTACAGCGAACGCAGATATGCCAGTTTTCTACCTGATCTTTTTAGGTAGAAAAGGAAATGGCGATTATGACAGAGGTGACCCTGACTGGAATTCTGCAGAACCTTGAAAGTAGGACTTAGTGATATGACCTCAAATCAATATTACGATAAATATGGCAGTTTTACCGTGATAACGTTAAATGCATGATAATGCATGCATCTTTTAGAAATAAAGGCATGTGCAAGAAATGCAACTGATAGATTGTTGCACATCTTTGAACTCAACAGCATGGCTGTGCTGTAGGTGGTGGAGGTTGGACGTGTTACTTTGGATTACTTTGCATTGCGTGTCCTTTCGCTCAACATCTATGGCGGAATTTTGGTGCCACCAATGCATGCAGTGAGAACAATGCATTTTTTAAACTCACACACCCTCGCTCAAACCCTTTCTGCTGCGTGCTCAACTCTGACAACGCATTTTAGACTTCTTCCTGCGCGCTCAGCTTCATCTCTGCTCTCGCTCAGCTCCACAGGATTAACTGATGTAATTTTGTTTACAGCTGTTAGACGCTTCTTCTCTGGGCTCATCCGCCATTCTTTTTGTTTGCACTTCTGTCTGCATCAGAGGAGTCACGTCATTACACACATGCTGCAGATTCTTAAAGGGGAAGGAAACAAGCCACCAGCGTGCACAGTAAAAACGGCAGAATTAAGTTTATTTCTTTTACTGACATAGAAAAATTGTTGCCAGTTATGACAGTTATGGTAGAAATCCAGTTTATCGCCCATCCTTACTTGAAAGGCTGACTTTCTTTGTCAGCTGCTTGTTTTATCTTTAGAACGTTCAGAGATTTTTATAAACAGCAAGTCTGAAATGTTAAAGAAAGCTTAAAAAGATTGCAGAGCAATGCTCAACTGTTCACAGCAGGAAGGTTTCAAAGATGTATTTCCAATAGGAGCTCCAACAAAACAAAAAAAACCACAACCAACTGGACTTTGTTTCCCAGTTTAAAGACAGTTCACTTCCCATCCAGGAAACTTTTTCAATTCAAATGTCAGAAATAGTGTTGACGCTACTCCTGACATTTTGAATTGAAAAAGCTTCCTGGATGGGAAGTGAAATGTCTTCAAACTGGGAAACAAAGTCCAGTTGATTGTTTTTTAACTTTTGTTTGACTATGACCTGGATGACTGAGAATCTTCAGCAGCAGATCCCAATAGGAATGCAAGTTAATAATAAATTTACCTCAAGTTGATTGATTTTATCGACCAACTAATAATTTATTTATAAGCAAACATTATTATTTTTTTTATTTAAACCTGAATTTTCTCTTGTATCAAGACAATTTTTAACAGATGTCGCTCTGACATGCTGTCAGAATATTCACTACTTTGTTCCATTGATAATGACCTCTGTTTTTATTGTAATTCTAAGGATGAGATCAACTCTAATCTAATAAAACCTTCATTGACATTTGTAAGTCAGGTTATTTGTTGACAATTTAAAACAGATTTTTCAGACCTGTTGGAGAAAAGACGAAGCCACTAAAGTAATGAGAGATTTGCTCACCGATGGCAGCAGCAGACTTGGGTGGAGAAGAGAAACCTCCAAATGAAGGAGTGGTGCTGTTCCCGTTGCTCAGACCTCCAAAGCCTTTAAAGCCTCCAGCGTTTCCAAACCCAGAGAAGGCAGTAGGAGTCGTAGAAGGCGTAGCCATAGAGAAGCCTTTGAACCCTTTGAAAGCTCCTCCCCCTTCGCTCTGAAAGCCAAATAGAACAGTGAGTTCTACAGCAGCTTTGAACGGTGGGGAATCAGAGGTCCCAGCTTTACCTCTCCTCCTGTGTTTCTGCGTTTTGCCTTCTTTATCGCTCGACTCTTCAACACATCCTCACTTGCAAGTGAAAAAGTCCCCGCCTGATTGAGGAAAGCAAATCACAGGTCAGTTAACATCACCTCCGTTTACAGAAAACACAATCTCAACTGTGGTCTGAACTCACCTCCTCTCCCTCTTCCTCCTGATCCCAGTTCCTGTCTGTCAGCTCTTTGTCAGCGATCCTCTTCGCCATCACACCTTCTCTGTACCCAACAAAAACATCTGCATCAGTGAGCAGCAGCTGGAGGGGGATTCCTTTAAGAAGGCCTTACAGAAAGCAGCTCAAATGGCAGTTTAATTTGAACAAAGAACCGAAATCTATGGCCGCCTTTTAAAGTTGCCTTTTCTACGTCTGCTTCTGTCTCCTTGAACCCCAGTGGGCCTCAGCAGATGGCCGCTCACACTGAGCCTGGTTCTGCTGGAGGTTTCTTCCTGTTCAAAGAGAGTTTTTCCTCTCGACTGTCGCTACTAGCGTGCCTAGTGCCTGATTTGAAGGCCGGGTCTGATGTATCCTCGCTATCCTTGGATATCCCAGGATTCATTGCGAGACCAAGCAAGCCGGCTGCTCCGTGATCAGAGGAAAGGTTACTTGGCGCCGACCAGTGGTGAAAATTGGAAGTTCAGTTTAATATAATCCAGTCAGTGAATAGTTCCGTCTGAAATTAATGGAAATAGTTGTTTTAATGGTTATAGAGTCAGATATGTGGCGGTAATGTTTGGTTTATCTAAAGGTTTTTATCTGTTACTGTGTAAATGGGTTTGGCTGGAATTTAAGGACAGATTCTAATAAATCTGCAGGGTGGGGGACTATAAATCTGATAGGATTTTTATATTTTTATTGCTGTTTTGCACAATTTGCTTAACTAAATATTTTTGTTGTTGAATATTAGAGACTTTGCAAATATATTTTTAATATATACATTTTTTAGATTTACTTATGTTTCTACCCCTTTTATAGAATAGAAAATCCCTTTATTTTCCCACAATGGGCAAATTTACAGCAGCAGAAAGATTATTGAAAATGGTCACACAGATGTGGACCTTAGGAAAATGTATAAGAATAGAATAATAGGGAAGAGTTAAAATATAAAAAATACAATACTGTAAAGTGTTTTAACAATATAAAAACTGTGCACCCGGAGAATAAATAACCAGTATACAGCTATGGAAATTTTCACAGTGACAGCAGCATGTTATTAAACAATCTAAGGTTTCCATCATTACATTTGCTTTTATTAGTTCATGCTCCCGATGGTTGGAACCTTTATTCCACTCTGGATTCTCACAAGTGTAGTCTTTGTTCACTTTACAATAAAATATTTACATATATTTTTAAAGAAACAGTTTTGAAAAGTTTGGTATTCATTCTCTTCCTGCTTTATGTGTTAACTGTTGCGGTTGCTAAGCGACATAGCATGCAGCAGTAACATCTGCTGAAGGGTAGACCGGTTTGAATTCACAACCAAAACTCTTCCAGCCTCCTTATTTCCAAGGACTTCAAAGGATCCAGTCCAGGTAGAAGCGTCCTTGGAGGATGCAGCGCATGGATTCAAACACAGCCAATGAGTCGATGCAATCAACTGGTTTTTTACTTAGATAGAAACCTGAATCAGTTTCACTGCATGATCTGGTTAAATTGTAAAGCTCCTTGAGATGACATGTGTTGTGAATTGGCGCTATATAAACTGAACCCATAATAGTGTAAAGTCTTTGATTTTTTTCCCTTTCTATGTAAAAGAGGCTGCCTGTAGCCTCCCACACATGATGCTTGTTTGAGTTGTAAAAAGTAACAGGAGATCAGGTTCCTGCAGGACGGTTCCGCTTTTCTTTCAAGTCTGAGCCCTGATTTGAATTTTTATCAAAGTAGTTCAGAGATATTTATTTTCTAATAATTATCCGTATTTGTTTACTGTAAACAGAGTAACACATTTGCAAAAAAAAAAAACGTAAGTGTTTAGAAAGTAAAAGTAGGTTAACAAGGTTACTAACCTATTGTACAAGAATATTATCTAATATTCAAGAATCAAAAAGTAAGAGAGAGACAATGGGAGATACATTTATAAAGAGGATCTAGGTTTTGTTTAATTAAAAAATAAATAAAAGTGTCTATTCATTCCATCTTAAATAACGTTTGTACAGCTGGTCTGGTTTTATCTTATCCAGAACGTTTAAATTATAATAAAAACAATAACAAACACATAAAATGATAAAGGTGGTAGTTATGAATGAGGTTTTAGAAAACCTAAGAGACAAACGGAAGGTTTAAAGTTGAAAATGCTGTTTGAAGTCCCAACCTTTAGTGGAAAACAACATTTAATTAGCTTCATTTATTAGCCTTTCTCGCGGATCAATCATAGATCGATGATCAAATCTCTAAAAGATCAACTTTTACCGCGCTGTCGTGTTCAAATCCTATCATTTCATCCTTCCAGACCCGGTTCTGATGTCTCTGAGGACCCGAGCTCAGTGCTAGCTCAATGCTAGCTCAGTGCTAGCCATGTCGGCTCCCCGGGCCGCCTGTTAGCAGCTAACGGCTAACAATCACGTTTAACCCGGCAGGGTCTGCGTTAAACCGCCCAACATTCAAACCGGACAAACCTTTAAACACGAGTCCAGTTCCGATCTCTGTCTCCCAGTGACTGTCCGCTGCAGCCGGATGAAGCCAACCGTTCTAAGAGCGCCGCTAAATTCACAGGAATCAACTCAGTGTGTTTAAACCAGAGCCGCCATTTCACACAGCCGCTGAGTCCGCGCGCCCCACCTTCTGACGCATGCGCAGAAACAAACGCCGCATTCATGTAGGGAGTTGTAGTCCTTAAAGAAAAGGAGTCTTTAACCCTTGAAAACCGGAATCTGATCCATTTTATGATCTTAAACGTGTTCTTATTGTTCGTCAAAGAATAAGTGGAAAAGCTGGCAATAGATTTTTCTCCATTTTCTACAATAAAAGTTTACAAAACTGATATATGGTCAGATATTCAACCAGAAAATTAAAAATAGCATATTTAAGCTGTTTTTTAAGCCTATTAAAGGAAAAG